TACAGCTGTCAAGATTAAAGTGAAAAATAAAAAGTGTCAACTGTGGCACTGATCCCATTGCATCAGATTTCTTTTTACACACTGACCAATCTCATATGTTTCTGTTGAGTTTATGAATGCAATGGCCAGTCAGAAGCATTTAGATTAGTCACTGTGAAAATGCCGGAGTTTTGTTGAGTGCATACGCTCACTGATTGAATTCTGAATCTGCACTCTCGTGGATTCTCTCATCATAAATGTTTTTATTGATATATAATTTATTCCCGGTTTAAATAACCATTATGTTTTTCATGCTACTAATATAACCAATGTGAACATTCAATTTTCTAATGCTAAAAAGCAATAAACTAATTCATAAACCTGGTTTTTCCTGTGTAGCCAGAATATGATGTTCTGTTTTCCAAATGTTTTTTATGCATTCTATTAATCAAAATTAATAATCTGTATTACAATATCAAGAACCATATTCAGTGTTTTTTATTTATATACTTTATGTGGGCTAATTACATTTTGCAACTGTTGTGTAAATACATGTATGCCACAGCATTAAACAGCCCTGTGTAAATCAGGGGTGTCAAACTCAAGATTCAAGGTTTAGATTTCAACCCTAATTAAACACACCTGATCCAACTAATCTAAAACTAAACTAAAACTACATGGTATGTGTTGGAACAAAACTCAATTGAGTTTGACACCCCTGGTGTAAATAAACATGGCACACTTTTCATTCAACTTTCATTGATGAAGTAGCATTTAAAATGCATTAAGATAATCCAACCTGCCCCCTGCTGGCCATATGCAAGATGAGGTGGCAAGATGATTCTTCTCCTCTCTCCTGTACACACACCCTGCAAGCCTTTATCTATGCCAGCGATCATGTAGCCCATTCCAATGTATGTGTTGTACGTATGGTTGTGCTGATAGCTGTGACATTAGAGGTAATACAATACATTAGAATTTTAGTAACATCTACAGCAATCCAAAACAACAGCAAAACAACAAACAAGCAAGCAAAAAAATAAATAAAAATCGAGTAAAACCTGGAGTCAAATGTGATGCCATTGAGGAAGGAAGCATTGTAGTGGTAGCGAATGTAATCGCCTGCAACAGACTTGCGTGTACATGGTTCAGGAGCTTCCATGACCTCCACAATGATGTCATCTTTAGGGTTGTGGAGGTCTTCCAGGAGAATGTGATACACTAATGATGCATGAGCAGGGATGTCTGTGCCTGAGGAAAAGAGACACACAAGAAAGCTGAAATAATGGGAAACAAGGAATATAAAGAGGACAGAAATATAATGTTTAAGAGAGTTTATAACTAACTATAATTTTTAAAGTGCTCCAACATTTTGTAGATACCTTTTATATAATGTGCCATTCCTGGGATTTTGGAAATCAGTGAATTTACATAAAGTTGTATATACAGTGGGTACGGAAAGTATTCAGACCCCCTTAA